CGGGATTTGCAAAGGAGCAAATTTTGGCCTGGCTTGAATCGCTACCGGAGGCACCTGAAAAGGATGTGCAGGATCAACAGAATCGTACACAAAAGACCAGTCCCCTAAAGATTCACTCATCACGCCAATGACGGCGGGTATAGCAGCTATGGCCCGAATGGCCAGGTTTGGACCTACCACAAGTCGCTTCGCACCAACGGCACCTAGCCCCACACGCTCCACGGACAGGAGGAGCTGATGCACTAGCTGCTTCCAAGTCAGGTTGAGTTGGCAGGGGTACTGATGCTGTAGAACTCAAAGGAATGCGAAATCGATGGCACAATTCGTTCACAATGATCAACAAAGCAGTGATTAATTGTTCCAGAGAAAGGGTCGAGGCCGAAGCACAATCCATGCCGCCCGGGACCGCCCGGAATGCCACAAAAGCAAGTGAGAATTGTCACATGACCGCCAACATGAAAAAGCCAACATTGAAAACATGCCACATGAAAAACTGCTGTTCTTAGCATGTTGTGGCTGTAAAACAGAAAACGCCAAACGCCTGAATGTCTGAGAAGACACCAAAACAAAAAATATACATACAAATGAAAGTCCTTGAGCCAAAATGGAATATCAAACAAAGAAGATCCTTCTAAAACACAATGAACCAGTACAATAAACAGTTGCACAGCTACTTTGACTTCATCAGAGTTGCTTGAATCAATATTGAATGTCGGCACCTTCGGTGCAAAACGATTTGCATTATGATCAACTGGAAACACCTGGAAGCCCTTTTTTCGCATGGCCTGGCTAAAACTGCCTGACCCTGAAAAGAACTCCGCAAAGGTCGCTTGGCGCTTCTCCGCAGTGGGCTCCCCTAATTGTGTTCCGAGTCCGTGTTCACATTGATTGTACGGCCGTTCACCCCGCACTTGTAACACTCGTGCGCTCCAAATTTGCACTTGGGCTCCTTCAAAAGCCAGATTACGCCTAGTCCAGGCGTTCCTCAAATTAATGTCACCGTTGGTGTCGCACTTGAGCTCCTCTGCGCGTTTGCCCAGCTTGGTAGCACCTGTTGCATCAAACGTCAAGGCCACCTCATTCTTCTCTTGCTGAATTTCCTGAATGCGGCTAATGCACTTTTGAGGTGGAATGAAAACCAAGTGTTCCTAGCTTGTGGGCAGGTTCAAGTTCCGCCGTCCACGTAACATCTACCAGCGCCGTTTTCTGTTTCTCAATGCGCGCCATGCGTTCTGCTAAGGGCATGGCTCCGGGTCGGTCATCAGCACTGTGGTCTATACGGGCGTGCATGTCTGACACTGCGTATGTTCGACTTTCAAAGTAGAGGCGGCGGCACAAGACCATCTCCTGTGGCGCTACGTCCCTTCCTATCAAAAGTCTGACAGCTACTGCCTTAGCTGTAAGAACCTGTGACAGTTCTCTGCACTGAGCTTCATCAAACTGATGCTTTTGTTCCTTAACTGGTGTATCATCCATGCCACTCGGATCCCCTGCGCAGCAAAATGCGCAGCAAAATGCCCACTGGCCAAAGGTATCCAGCTTTGCCTGCTGGAGTTCAATGATGAATCCGTCCGGGACTCCTATCTGGCTCGTGCCTCCCAAGCTGGCTTTGATTCCAGTGACACCATGGCAACACGCAGGAATGTCAGGTTTCAAAGGACGTGTCCTACTGCAGTTGAGAAAGGAAGTTCGAAGGACTTAGCTTGTTAAACCTGAAAGCGACACATGTGAATGAAAACCAGATTGAATGGGGGGACATTATCAAGCTAAGTGCAATGCCGTGACATAAATCACAATGAACTCACACTGTCTTGAATGTCACCCGACTGCACACCCTCTGAGCTTTGAACAGATAGGGCTCAGGATTGGCACGCTGATCCGGGACTGAAATAAAAACGTCACTGCTGTCAATTGGATTGCGATGATTCACCGCCTCAATATGACGCACCGAGATGATGTTCTCATGACGTGGATTGCTTGGATTACGGCATCAATGGCCGCCTCAAACTTGTCCACCCCACCTGAACTCATGATAATGATATTTATTCCAGTTTACGATTTAAAAATTTGCGAGCTGTATGTCAACCTGGTTTGATGACTCAGTCTTTTATCTAAGGCTGGGCTCTGTCGCACTGTTGGCATATTAACAGCTGGGTGAGGTCCGGGTCGCCTTGCTGCCATGCCCTGGAATTGACAGACAGTTTGCAGCCACACCACAACGTGCCAGCATATCCCTTCATGTGAACCACCATTGACTCTTTGTGCAGTAACTTGTCACCAGATACCACATCGGCTGAGACTTGTTGGTCACGCATGAAGTGCCCACCTTCATCAAAATGTTCATCGCCTGAAACATCGGTTTCAGAACCTTCCCAGTCTTCTCAGGCTCCCCTGGGTCTTCGCAAATGTATTGGTTTTCCCAGTAGATGCGTGTCGCATTTGAATGATCTGGATTGAACTCAAAGTTGCGAATGGCAGTCAGCATTCTGAAAATTTGAGAGCGCAACGCTGTCAAATTGTCCCTTGGATATGTGAGGGGCATCATTGAATTGGCGTCCATGTGATGCGTCAACATCCTTTTCTCTCATCCATGGAAAAAATCCCAAACTTACCAGCCCATGTCGCCGCTGTCGCCTTGCATGAGTGTGTACTGTACTGCGACGCCTGCAGGGTTGTAAGGCCAGCGCGAACCAGAATCTCCTTCAGCCACAATTTGGCCTCTGAGGTAGTTAGGCGTCGACTCAGAAACTGACCTGAAACTTCTCAAAAAACTGGCATGATTGTCTCATGTTCCATGGAGTCCAATTGCATCCGCCATTTGATGCACCAGGGATTTGGGTGAAGCCCCCAACCAATCGCCGTAAATGGCAGGAGCATCCTACAACGCTCCATTGTGCTCTGGTGCTCTTTGCATCTGAGGTAGCCGCTTCTACCAAAAAAACGTCCTGATGCCTGGAAAACTCAACGCTCCTGATCTGGGTGGCGTCGCCAATGCGGCAGCTGGCATAAATGCAGAACAAAATGAAGTTGGTGAACATTGAACAACTTTCGATGTTGCAAGTCAATGCATATCCCTCCGGGGCTCTGACCACGCTTGCAGGAAATGGCGGTGCCTGTTTCAGGATCCTCTTTCTCATGTACATGTCCCTGCAGACATCAGAGATTCGAGAAGTGAAAGACTTAGGACAAAAACCACTGATACCTGCGGTGGCACGCATGAACCAAATGGACTTGACTGTCGCATCAGCAAAGGTTGGTGCAGCACCTGTGTCACGAAGCCATGACAAGTACTGATAAACGACGCCTTCTGACAACTGCATGGGCAATAGGTCCAAATGTTGATGCATCCAAACTGTCATTGTGTAGTAATCCAGCGATCTCTTGACCAGAGTGGAAGTGGCCCTCCTTCTAAAGGCATCATACCTGCGGTGGCACGCATGAACCAAATGGACTTGACTGTCGCATCAGCAAAGGTTGGTGCAGCACCTGTGTCACGAAGCCATGACAAGTACTGATAAACGACGCCTTCTGACAACTGCATGGGCAATAGGTCCAAATGTTGATGCATCCAAACTGTCATTGTGTAGTAATCCAGCGATCTCTTGACCAGAGTGGAAGTGGCCCTCCTTCTAAAGGCATCTGCAAAAACTTCTGAAAGTGTCCCGAAGAGTCAAGTAGCGCACGGCCCAGTTGTGACTGCGATGGAGCCACCAAAATAAGGTCCCTGAGACGCCTGAGCGCCTTTGCCCTCAACTGATCGTCAGTTTGTGCTAGCCTTGTGGCCAAAAGACGCTTGTGGTGAAATGGAGTTCTCATTGCGGTCTTTTCCGGAGGTTCGACTGTGGGTGAAATTCCATGAAGGCTTTCAAACTTTCCAACTGTAGGCATGGCCAACCAAGCCATGCCCAAGGTTCTTTGGGCAGTCCTGTACGTGGCAGCTTAACCATCTTGAAAAACAGTCCATCGTCGATACCCACGCCCCTTGTCATAGCTGTACCTTCTGAAGGCCGCTTTCTGTCCCATCCCAACACTGCTGACTCCCCCTCATGTGGAGGTGCTCCATGATCCCCAGAGAGGCCACCTGGGGACGCCTGCAAAGACCAAGTGTCAAGCTCGATTGATTCTTCGAGTCGAGAGGACCTCCAAACATATCACCAGGAACGGCCTCATCAAAGCCAGGAATTTCCGCCTGTGAGACTATTGCATTCGAAAACCCATCTTGCACTGACTGTTCAAAAATCAAAAGAAGCACTCCCAAAGGCACACCAACATTCGATCTCCACGGCATGATTGCTTGAGCTGTTAACCCCGCAAAACCAAGCAGATGTCAAAAGCCCAAATGAATCCGGCACATACGGCGCCGGTGCGTAGGATCGGTCCGTGGTGCACAAAAAAAGGGGAGTTGCAGAATTGTTTGTGCTCCACACCTCTATCCTTGATGAGTAAAACACCGTGAAACATAAATTTAAAACAAAGCTCACTCTGAAATGCCACGTAATGACATCACTGTGATTTAAGTGGTTTGCTTTTTTTTGGTGTTTGTTTGGTTTGGTTCTAAACGGAGGGGGTTTAAAACAACCTTGTGCGCTTCGTTCCTACGCCGGGCCCAAACGACAAGGCTTTCATAGTTCCTATGATTCACCCACAAAACTTGGGTCACGCTAAGGTGAGGAACAACAATACATCATTTGAGCTAACAACTTTATGTGAATCAACGGCAGAAGGACAGGAGTTCCGACCTCATTTTCCGTGTTTGATGGGTTTCGTTTCTTTTCCACGGTTTTGATGGTTTTCCAATTCCTTGTTTATCATTTTTAACTTCCTATCTAGTTCTCGGGGAGTTCTTACTGCTCCCATTGTGGCACTTTTCAGAAAACTGGTCCACTCACCCGGATACATGTTTCACCACGGTAAAGTGGTCGCTCATTTGACGTTATCAAATGTTGTAAACTCAATATCCCACCAGCCCACCGGCATTTTTGCCATTGGCCACTCCCCAC